CCCGTAAGAGGGCGAGGACCGTTTCTCCCGTGGTACCTCCAACGGTCAAGTCAGCTAGTAAACTTGAGTGGGGTGAAAGAAGAACGAAGTATTCTTCTTCATGCAATATGTGCTTTTAATCTAGAAGAGGATGCTTACGGGGTGATGAAGGATGATGAAGGGGATCTCTTACTTTCTCGACTTTATGTCTGGTTCTTAGAGCTCGGGGCGAACGGATCACCTGCACATGCAAGAATCGTGGGAGTACGGGGCTCATTCCCTCACGGTATCTCCGACGGTCAAGTCAGTTGGTGAACTTGAGATTGTGTGGAGTAATAAAACTATGCTCTTATGCTATGTGCATTAGAGACTATGATCTCTTAGATTTAGATCAGGAGGAAAGTTTTGATTGTGAACCTGCTAACTTGCTCCCTCTTTTTATGGCAAATATCATCTATTTATAGAGGATACCAAGGATAGATTGGTCACTTTATGAGTGTATTGTAAGACGGTGGTGAGGGTTGAGCTGGAGGTTGAGTCACCTTTTATTTCATACATGGCGGTTTATGAGTAACAGGAGATCACTTCAATGACATTAGGAGTTAACAGCCGACGAGTCTTGTCGGTTTGTGAGTGACGGGAGGTCACTTTAGCGACATTGGGAGCCAACGGCCAACGAGTCTTCAGACGGCTTAGGACAAAGACATAATGATGATCATCAAAGGTTAAATAATATTGAGAAATAATATTCAGGGTTGTCCTCAGGAGGAGTGCCAGCTAACGTTGAGTAGCGATCTTTTGATATGAAGAGGATCGATTGAGTCCGCCTCTTGAGTCGCCTTTGAGGAATGATGCCGACTCAACTGAGGGAGTGATAGCTCGGCTGTCCTTCAGGTCGACTTCGAGGAGTGTTGAATCTCTAGAATGCTAATTTTCATACCGACTAACACTGCCTTCCGAGTCGACAGATCGTGTCGGCTTATCTGGCTGATCAAGATGTCGACTCATCAGATCATACATTTGAAAATAGTTGTACCCCATAACAATCATGTATGCCCTATTTGTGGTATTGGAATATTATGAATCAAGATGTGTGATGGGGTGACTAGGGAGCTGAAGGAAGTAAGATTCGTTCCACGGTTGACAAAAAATATCATTTTACTTGGAACTTTGGAGGCATCTGACTATAGGGTGATCTTAGAGAATGCATCTTTTAAGGTCACGAATGGGTCTATGGTGGTGATGAGAGGTGTTAGGGAAAACAACCTTTTCTACTTGAAGGGCAAGACAGTAACAAGAGGTCCGGCAGCTTCGATTACCATAGAGGAGGATACTACCAGCTTATAGCACATGAGACTGAGATACACTGGTGATAAGTCTCTGTATATATTAGCAAAACAGAGGCTGTTGAAAGGTGCAAAGACCCGTAAGATGGAGTTGTGTGAGCATTGTATACTTGGGAAGAATACAAAAGTAAAATTCGGCACCACAATTCACAACGCCCAAGGTATATTGGATTACGTTCACACAAATATTTAGGGTCATTCCAAACACACATCACTTGGTAGGACCAATTATTTTATCACTTTTATTAATGATTATTCCTGGAGGAATTGAGTATACCCTATGAATCATAAACATGATGTCCTGGATATATTTGTGGAGTGGAAGAAGAAAGTAGAGCAACAAAAAGGTAGAAAGGTGAAGGTACTCCGTTTATATAATAGTGGTGAGTATAAGAGTGATCTATTTCTGTAGTTTTGTCGGGATCACGGCATTAGGTGACACTTTACAGTTAGGGAGATACCATAATAAAACAGGATGGCTGAGAGATTGTACAGTACCTTGCTGGAGAAGGTGCATTGTATGCTCTCACATAGTGGATTGGCTAAATCCTTTTGGGCTAAGGCATTGGTTTATACGAGCCATCTCATGAATAGGTTATCGTGCACTGTGATATATGGGAAGACTCCTATGGAGGTATGGTCTGATTCAGTGGCTAGTGATTATGATTTGAATCGGATATTTGGGTGTCCAGCTTACTATCATGTGAATGATAGAAAATTGAATCTAAGGGCTAGAAAAGAAATCTTTGTGGGTTTTAGAGGTAGAGTTAAAGGCTTTAAGATGTGGGATTTACAAGACAAGAAGATAATCATTAGAAGAGATGCCACTTTTGATGAGGCATATATGATGAGGCCTCAAGTCCCTCAGCATGTGGAGGAAGGACAGACTAGCGGGACATCGCAGGAGGTGGAGGATGATGTGACTCCACAGACTTCAGATAGCATTCTATCCATTGAGGCTCCTACAGAAGTGATACTAGGAGGAGATATGACATATGGGCAGATGGAGGATACAGTGGATGTTGGAATTCAGGAACAAGGTCATGTTCAGGAGTCCATTATAGCTAATAGACCAAGAAGGGTTATTCATCGACCAGCTAGATAAGATGACGTGATGGTTGCATATGCTTTATCAGTTGAGGTCGTTGATAATTTAGTTCCTTCTACATATAAGTAAGTAGAGTCAAGCTCTGATTCAATCAGGTAGAGGAAAGCTATGAAGGAGGAGATACACTCTCTTCAGAAGAACGACACTTGGGAACTTGCAAAGCTATCAAAGGGTAAGAAGGAAATTGGATGCAAGTGGGTATATATATGCAAAGAAAGAAGGATCTTCTAATGGGGACATTCGATACAAAGCCAGATTGGTTGCCAAAGGGTATGCCCAGCTTGAGGACATGGATTATAATAAAGTATTCTCACAGGTCGTGAAGCATTCATCGATAAGGATACTATTGACATTAGTGGAACAGTTGGATTTGATTTGGTCCAGATGGATGTGAAGACAACCTTCTATATGGAGACTTAGAAGAGGAGATCTATATGACATAACTTATGGGTTTTAGAGCTGCAGGCAAGGAAGATTTGGTGTGCAAACTAAAGAAGTCTCTTTATGGATTGAAACAATCGTCACGACAATGGTACAAGAGATTCAATAGTTTTATGATTGGTCAAGGGTACATGAGAAGCCCATATGATTTGTGTGTTTACATGCACAAGCTACAGAATGGTGAGTATATTTATTTACTGTTATATGTTGAAGATATGCTCATTGCATTTTGGAATACTTCAGCTATTAGAAAGTTAAAAAAGGAGTTGCCATCCGAATTTGAGACGAAGGATCTTGGAGAAACAAAAAAGATATTGGGTATGGAGATTGAGAGAGACAAGGTGAAGGGGAGGTCGAAGTTGACACAGAAGAGCTACTTGCAGAAGATGCTGAAGAAATTTAGTTTTGATAGAAATGCCAAGGCGGTGAGTACTCTATTTGCTCCCCACTTTAAGCTTTCAGCTAAGATGTCATCTGTTTCAGTTGAGGATCATGACTATATATCCAAAGTTTTATATGCCAATGCGGTGGGTAGCTTGATGTATGGGATGGTGTGTACAAGGCCAGATTTGTCACAAGCCGTGAGCATTGTGTTTAGGTATATGCATGACCCCGGGAAGAGTCATTGGGAGGCCATGAAGTGGATTCTATGGTATATCATAGGTACCATGGATGTTAGTTTGGTGTTTCAGAAGAATGAGAAGATTCGGCAGGGATCTATGGATTCAGACCATGCGGGGGATCTTAACAAACACCGATCTACTACAGGATATGTATTTATATTGGCAGGAGCACTGGTGTGTTGGAGGTGTACACTTCAGTCTACAGTAACTCTCTCCGCTACGGAAGCTAGGTATATGACATTGATTGAAGCTGTGAATGAGGCTTTATGGTTGTAGGGATTATTAGAAGACTTGGTGATTGCACATGATACCAATAGGGTGAATTGTGATAGCATGTTAGCTATCTATTTGGAAAAGAACCAAGTATATCATGCATGCACAAAGCACATTGATGTTATATTCCACTTTAATCGAAACGTCTTGGATGATGGAGATATTATATTGGAAAAGATCAACACAAAGGACAATCCGGCAGATATATTGACCAAAGTTATCACAGGGGTGAAATTTGGTCATTCTTTGGAGTTATTGAACATTCTTTGGTGTTGAGTGTCCTTTGGAGGCCATTTGGGTGAACTACGTGAGGCTTGATTCCTTAGGCAAGAGGACACATAGGCAGTTATTTTTATGCAGCCAGTTTAATGAGTTGATACCGACATGGTAGAGATTGTTCGCATTCTCATCTGATTTCCAACTTATTATGGATTGAGTCTGTTGTAGTGGATTGATTCCACTTCGTCATGGACGCAACAAGTGAGACGTTTGATTAGTGTTGGTGTCGGCTCAGTTTTGAAAAAACTTTACCGAGGTGGAAAGTTGTAGAAACGACGGTGTTAAAGTTCAGGAAATTTGACGAAGGAAATAGTTTGGAGGTTTCCCAGTCGACCGTGGTAACATGTGCGGTCGACCGGAAAGGTGCACGAGTACAGGGTAGTTTCTGGATTTCTGTCTGGTCGACCGTGAAGACTTTGACGGTCGACCATGGACCCTGTAATAGATGTTTTGGGTTCTGTCATTCTGTTCGGTCAACTGTGATGGTTTCGGCAGTCGACTGCCAGTCGGGTTTGGGCCTGGCTTCGTTTCCTGTTCTGATTTATTTTGTGTTTTGATATATATTAAAACATGTTTTTTAGGGTTTTCTTAAAACAAAAAGAGAGACTTTTGAGTCGAGTGATTGAGAGTTTTGGTGGGAGATTTGAGAGCTTTGTTTGAGAGATTAATTTGTGAGTTTTGAGTGAATTTGTAATCTCCATTTGTACTCTCTCTAATAGTAAAATCCATCTCCTCCTTGCCCCGTGGGCGTAGACACATTATCAAACCACGTAAAATTTATGTCTTGCATTGTTTGGTTCTTGTTTTACCTATTGGTTGTAATTTTATCTCAGTTTGGCTGTGTTTCTTTGATTCCGCTACGTACAACACCAACTCTATTAAAATGATCAGCCATCGAATACCAAACTTTTAGTGAAGACACAAGGCCAATTAAGCACAGAAGATTAAGTCTAATATTTAAACCTTCATGTGAAGAATTATTTCATTGTACTTTTTTTTATTAAATCAAATAAATTTACAATAATTTGTTACAAAGTCAGACATCAAACATAATCACAATAGTAAATAATTAAGGACTCCTTAAACTTAGGCATCCTTCATACTTGAACATGGAGTTATTTATTTAGCAAGAGACAGGCTTGACATTGCTTGAGACCACTTTAACATTCTCACAAGTAGCGGTCTCCTTCAATGCTTTGTCATTGCCAATATACTGAAGTTGGATGTTCTTGAGCTCCAATCCTTCACATGGATGAGTCTTGCTGCACCTCAACTTGATTACCTCTGCAGAGGATGATGTTCCTCTTATGTTGTTGAACTTAATACCCTTGATCTGAACTCTAGATGGCTCCTGCGATAAAATTAGCAAAGCATTAAATCCAGTTGATCATCTAAATTATGGAGATGTAGCACTTATCAATGAGGTGTACCTGCAATTAGCACACACTTGAAATCATTTATAGAAATTAATACAAGGAAAAGCTTCACAAAACCCATGAACCTTTATGTGGTTTTAACAAAATTCACTAAACTTTATAGTTCAGAGAAAATCCTTAATCTGAATTTGTTGAAAATTATCATAAATTAATGACATTAACTTGACAAATAAAAGTCTAAAACATCATGTTTACTCTCCATGCATCTATCATAAACCTAAAAAGGATAATATAGTAGGCATTAAGCATGTACAAATAAAACTTTTGAAAACACGTCAGATGTGAAACATGTGACAACTCACACTAGCTGTTGTTAGTCATCATATATCTAGGAAACAAGTTTAATTTGGTTTTATTGTACTTTATAAATTAAGTTCGATCAGGGGTTTCATGCAAAACATTCAGTGTGAAATTTACCCTATATATATGCAAAACATACAAATGTAATGCTTCTAATTATTTGCTCCATATATGCATAATCTTGATTACGAACGTACCGATTCCACACAAGAAGCATAGGGACAATACTCCTGATCGATAATAATCGGATTCATCACATTCTCCATCACAACATCATCGAACGTGAAACCCGAAACCATCATGGGTTCAACATTCTTAGCATCTCCTTCTTGCTGCCAAGTCTTGATCCTGATCCCGTTTGTAGTCCCACTCAGCTTAGAGTTCCTCACACTAAACCCCACGACATCCCCCTTGTCCTCATCCTTGCCCAAACTGCCGACGCTGATGCCATGGCCGGGCCCACACGTGACTCCAGATACGGTCACGTTGGTTGTGCCCGACCCGACGGAGACGCAGTCATCTCCGGTGCCGATGGTGGAGTTGGTGATGATGATGTTAGAGGAGGCGCCCATGTGGATCCCATCGGTGTTGGGGCTGTCGCCGGGGGCGGTTATCGTGATGGAGTGGATGTCGATGTTGCTGCAGCTGAACATGTTCACGTGGAAGAACTTGCTGTTGAGGGAGGTGATGCCAGTTATGGCTGAGTTTGTGACGAAGCTTAGCGACATTGTCTGTTGAAACAGTAAACGATTTAATTTGTTCAGTTGAACAAAGCGCATCAAGCAAATGCTTAATTAATTAATAAAAAAGTTTAGTTATATATACAGGTGAGCTAGACCACGGATTAGCTCAAACTACTTTTATACTATCAGAAATGAGAGTGTGGGGTCCTTAGCGACTTGATCATCCAATTTCGATAGCAATTCAAGAGGATGGATCCCACACTTTTGTCTAATGGAGTTCAAAAGTAGTGTGAGATATATAGGTCGATCAGTATTAACCCCCAGAATTAACAACGTGCCACAAGAATAATAACTTCTTGGTTATTATAAAGATGCTTGGGGATCAATGCATTGATCCAAGTGTCAATGTTCATTTGGTGAACCATTAATGTTATGGGCTTAGATCATTAATGGATATACTTTTTTAATTAGAAAAGACTAAAGCGTTCTTGAAATGAGGGTAAAAAAATTTAAATTTGTTTAATATTCAAAGGATGTGAAAATGCTAATAAAACAGTTTAGAGGATATAAATTGCTATGAAAATTTTAGCTGCAATTAACCCCTAATAAATATTTAAAAGATCAAAATTTACCATTGGAAGAAGCTTGCACTTCCAATTGTCTGGGCAATTATTGTGGGGCCAAGCGGTGGTCCCCTGTCCATCGAGCTTGCCACGACCTCTAATCGTGAGCCCATCGATGTACTGAAACTCAAGCCAATTGCTCGTGTACCGGTTGAGATTTGTATCAGCGAGCAAATTTCCATCTAATTGGATCGTAATGGGTCCTTTACATTTGCCCTTGAACAAAACCGGCCCAACTAAGTAGTCACCGAAAGGAATAGTTATTTGTGCGCTTCCTTCAGCTGCGCATGCATCATCCCAAGCTTTTTGCAAAGCCTACAAGTATGCGAACAGAAAAATTTGTTAATCACAACTAAAAAGTTTTAACTTGTTTTGATGAGGAATATTTCTTTAAAAAAATTTATAATGCATAATATGGCGAATGCAAGTCCTATCAAAACCGTCCACACACAAGTTAATCGTTCTAATCTATACAAAAGAGTATATTGAAATCTTCAAATTGTTAGTCTATTTCTTTCTGAATGGAACATAATAACGCACACGAATTCGGACTATTCTAATAAGATATGGCGTTTTGATATAACTCACCTTCGTGCTATCTGTTTTGCCATTTGGAACTCCACCGTATTTCTTCAAATCGAAAACTGTAATTCCATTTGCAAAAGAAACAAATAGAAACAACAAGAAAGCTCCTGAGAAGTTTGAATATGAACCCATGGATGGAGTGATTTTCATTAGATACTCTTCTTAATTTGGTTATCAAAATCGATCTTGTTGCCTTTTATACTTCGGAGTTTAGACAAATTTAGCTTCCTTTAGCTATGTAATTTGTGGTCATAGATTGGTTGGTTGGACTTTGCTTTTATTTATAGCACGCCTCTAGTTATCCAATGGTTGATAAAGTTGTTCAAACTGGTAGGTTTCCGAGAATAGTTAAGAGTTTTAATTAAGAGCAAGGACATTCTTATTTTAGAGTTTGAATATAAATGCTTTCTATTCAAAGAAAAAAAATCCCTCCATGCCTTACGATTTGAGATTATTTTTTCATTTCCTTATATCTAGGTGCACTGGATTGGGCCGTTCACGGTTGTTTAATAATAATGGGTTTCTTAACCATTACTTAGCTACTAAAATCATACTCCCCTTAAAAGCACGAGCTCGGAAAAATCTTTCGATAGACAAAAATACCTTTAGAATTTAAATATCATTCCTTAAATAAAAGTAAGTTAATAAATTAATGAATTCTTATTGAATATACATAGTATAAAGATAAGGATACAATTTAAATCACTAGTAGAAAACCTCACATTCTAGACGTAAATTTTTCTATCTAGTTTGCTATTAAAGCTAAACGGAAAATTTCAGTCTAGGATATTCTGTCTAGGAAAAAATATCCTAGACGTAAATTTTCGTCTAAGATATCTAATCAGACTGTTTTATTATTTTTTTTAATTTTTTAATGATGCTAGTATCCTAGGATGATGGGTCCCACGAGAGTGCACCCTTCCCCGGGAAACTGAGAGAAAGGTATCAAGATGATAAAACCCCCAGAACTTTTAACCCCCTTCAAACCCTCTCTAAAAACCCCTCTCTAAACTTCTTTTTCTCTCTAAAAATCCCTCTCACTGTAAGCCCACTTCGTCTTCCCCTCAAATCTCACGAAATTTCCCAGTTTTTAAGGTAATTTTCGTCCCAGATCCTCGGATTTACGTATCAAGTTCGCGTCTTTGATGAGCAAAATGAGGTTTTTGAGCTTGAATCGAAATGGGTGGCTTATTTTGTTTTAATTGTAATTTTCTGCTGGTTGTGTAGGGATTCAGTTCGAGAATGGACTCCATGATTGTAAGCAAGTCTGCGTTCTCGGCTCCGGTAAGTTTACTGCTCATTTAAAAAAAAGATTTTTAGGTGTTTTTCAATAGAATTTTGAGCTTAAGTTTTATATTTGTTATTTAAGACAAGATTTGTGTTATATTCTTTATATTCCTGTATGTGATAATAATTTGAATTAGCGTTTGAGCCTGTAGTTGAATGCTTTTATGGTGGGGAAGTATATTGGAAGGTTGGTTGGCTGAATATGATTGAATGATGATTTGGGTTGAAGGTTTAGTTATACTTTTTCATATGGTTTGTATTTTTAAGTTCTCATTTCAAACTTTTTAACGCGTAATGTAAAAAGTACATTGTATTTGTTTTTGATTTGCAATGGATAGTTTAGCTGCTAATTGCATGATTTTGTTGCTAATGTAAAGGATAGTTTGTTCGTTGGAGGAAGCTCAATTTTGGCTTTTTCCTTAGGTTTATTTTGTTGGATGCTTGAAATTAGAGCTGCTAGATTCAGCATAAACTGATAAGATAACTTCATATAATCACTTGTTCCTGTATTTTTCTTTAACTGTGAGCTTTAAGGCGATCTCTGCGTATCTATCTTTGCTAGATTCAGCATCGCATCAACATGGAGTTTCGAGGGCCTCCGTCGCAGCAGATGGGCACCATTTTCTACTTCGCCTTCTCCACCCTAGTCTTCTCTCATAGTAAGATACGTTGTTAGTCAATCACATGTTTACAACTAGATTTTTAGCATGTCTAATGTCACAAAACACCTTTCAACCACATCAAAACTTTGAGGCACTGTAAAGTTTCTAATGCATTGAAATGGACTTTAATACGATATCAAAACAAATCAGATTCAAATCTCATCGGTCACGTATTTAAAACGGATTAAAAAAGATATCTCTACATGAGCTACGGTTTAGGTTTATGAAAAGAATGCTCAATGCACGAGGACATACTAGAGCACACAGTTTAGAGATACACTCGATGTCCCGTGATGAAGAAGCCACTTATCTCTAAAATATTTTTATTAGAGCTTACACATCCTTGCACACGCTCAAACAATGTTCATATTTTGCCTTGGATGTACATAGAGCAATTAGTTATTTTCCAATTAAACTGAGAAAAAAAGGCCACTTACTCCCATGTGATTCTCACCTGACATGTGAAGCAGACAAAAGAAAACAGATCGCCTAGAGTTTAAAGGGCTTGAGTACAAATAAAACAATTGACATAGCACATATAACCAAAACTTCATCGTACAGAAGGTGCATCTATAAATGACCCCAAAAGAAATTTTATTATCATTAATTCTCATCACAACTTTAAAGTTTTGATAAATTGGCTTGTATGTAACTAAAAATATTCTGTGTGTGCAGAGGAGAGATTGGAGAGCAACCTGTCGAGGTTCGCAGTGATCATCTGGGTCTTCGTTGTGTTGATACTACAAACAAGCTACACTGCCAGCCTGACATCGATGCTCACCGTGCTGCAGCTGCAGCCAGAAGTCACGGACCTGAGCGAGCTCATCAAGAATGGCAAGTATATCGGATACCACCATGGGTCCTTCGTCGCTGAGCTCCTGAAGCAGCAGCTCAACTTCGAGGGGAACAAGCTCAAGAACTACAGCAGCCTTGATGAGTACGCTGAGGCTCTCGCTCGCGGCAGCAAGAACGGAGGAGTGGCAGCAATCTTCGATGAGATACCGTACCTTAAGCTGTTCCTGTCGGAGAATTGTCAGGATTATACGATGGTGGGCAGGACTTACAAGACCGACGGGTTTGGATTTGTAAGTTAATGAGAATCATCGTCATATGAATATTAAACACATGCTATATATATAGTCAGCAAGTTTTTTCACAATTTATATGAAACGATAACAATGCAACCCAAGTATCTTGTCTGCCATGTAATCAGCAGTTTTTAACATAATTTTAAGTATCTTGCCTGCCATGTAATAAGCGAACACTCGTCCTCCATTTCACAAGTTTCTAACAATATTGGCGCATTCTTTCGAATCTTTCAGGTTTTTCCGAGAGGCTCCCCTCTTGTATCAGACGTCTCAAGAGCCATACTCAATGTAACCGAAGGCGATATCATGGCCGAAATTGAGAAAAAATGGTTCGGCAACCAAACCACCTGCCCCTCCGACACGAGCAGCGACCACACCTCCAGCAAACTCAACTTCCAAAGCTTCAGCGGCCTCTTCCTCATCACCGGGTGCGTCTCCTCCCTCGCTCTCCTCATCTTCCTAGTCACTTTCCTGTGCGGCCTCTTCCTCATCACCGGGTGCGTCTCCTCCCTCGCTCTCCTCATCTTCCTAGTCACTTTCCTGTACAGAGAATGGGGTGGGCTCAAGATCACCGCGTCTCAGATTTCCCTATCGACGAAAATCAAAGAATGGGCTCGGTACTATGATACTAAAGATCTCAGTTCTCACACTTTCAAGGATTACGCCGCCAGTATTAACGATGGAAGCTCGATTAACGACAATAATATTGTCGGAGATGCTGCAGCGACCACGCCTAATGTAGGTTCACAGAGTCCGGTTAGCGTGAACAATAATATTGTCGGAGATGCTGCAGCGACCACGCCTAATGTAGGTTCACAGAGTCCGGTTAGCGTGAATCTTTCTGACCTCAACTTTGGTTCGCCGGGTGAAGGGATCAGGTCGTTTAGAGAGGGGTGAGGAGGTGATCGGCCAAGCTGAAGAAGATGAGGATGCTGAAGGAATGGTCGAAATCAGCCTTCAAGGTTGATTTGCAGACAAAAAAAAAAATCTCTTCAAAAAAAGGTTAACTACGTGAGGCTTTTGGGTGAACTACGTGAGGCTTGATTCCTTAGGCAAGAGGACACGTAGGCAGTTATTTTTATGCAGCCAGTTTAATGAGTTGATACCGACATGTTTCAGTGTCCTTTGGAGGCCATTTGGGTGAACTACGTGAGGCTTGATTCCTTAGGCAAGAGGACACGTAGGCAGTTATTTTTATGCAGCCAGTTTAATGAGTTGATACCGACATGGTAGAGATTGTTCGCATTCTCATCTGATTTCCAACTTATTATGGATTGAGTCTGTTGTAGTGGATTGATTCCACTTCGTCATGGACGCAACAAGTGAGACGTTTGATTAGTGTTGGTGTCGGCTCAGTTTTGAAAAAACTTTGCCGATGTAGAAAGTTGTAGAAACGACGGTGTTAAAGTTCAGGAAATTTGACGAAGGAAATAGTTTGGAGGTTTCCCAGTCGACCGTGGTAACATGTGCGGTCGACCGGAAAGGTGCACGAGTACAGGGTAGTTTCTGGATTTCTGTCTGGTCGACCGTGAAGACTTTGACGGTCGACCATGGACCCTGTAATAGATTTTTTGGGTTCTGTCATTCTGTCCGGTCAACTGTGATGGTTTCGGCAGTCGACTGCCAGTCGGGTTTGGGCCTGGCTTCGTTTCCTGTTCTGATTTATTTTGTGTTTTGATATATATTAAAACATGTTTTTTAGGGTTTTCTTAAAACAAAAAGAGAGACTTTTGAGTCGAGTGATTGAGAGTTTTGGTGGGAGATTTGAGAGCTTTGTTTGAGAGATTAATTTGTGAGTTTTGAGTGAATTTGTAATCTCCATTTGTACTCTCTCTAATAGTAAAATCCATCTCCTCCTTGCCCCGTGGGCGTAGACACATTATCAAACCACGTAAAATTTATGTCTTGCATTGTTTGGTTCTTGTTTTACCTATTGGTTGTAATTTTATCTCAGTTTGGCTGTGTTTCTTTGATTCCGCTACGTACAACACCAACTCTATTAAAATGATCAGCCATCGAATACCAAACTTTTAGTGAAGACACAAGGCAATTAAGCACAGAAGATTAAGTCTAATATTTAAACCTTCATGTGAAGAATTATTTCATTGTACTTTTTTTTATTAAATCAAATAAATTTACAATAATTTGTTACAAAGTCAGACATCAAACATAATCACAATAGTAAATAATTAAGGACTCCTTAAACTTAGGCATCCTTCATACTTGAACATGGAGTTATTTATTTAGCAAGAGACAGGCTTGACATTGCTTGAGACCACTTTAACATTCTCACAAGTAGCGGTCTCCTTCAATGCTTTGTCATTGCCAATATACTGAAGTTGGATGTTCTTGAGCTCCAATCCTTCACATGGATGAGTCTTGCTGCACCTCAACTTGATTACCTCTGCAGAGGATGATGTTCCTCTTATGTTGTTGAACTTAATATCCTTAATCTGAACTCTAGATGGCTCCTGCGATAAAATTAGCAAAGCATTAAATCCAGTTGATCATCTAAATTATGGAGATGTAGCACTTATCAATGAGGTGTGCCTGCAATTAGCACACACTTGAAATCATTTATAGAAATTAATACAAGGAAAAGCTTCACAAAACCCATGAACCTTTTAGGTGGTTTTAACAAAATTCATAAACTTTATAGTTCAGAGGAAACCATTGATCTGAATTGTTGAAAATTATCATAAATTAATGACATTAACTTGACAGATAAAAGTCTAAAACATCATGATTACTCTCCATGCGTCTATCATAAACCTAAAAAGGATAATATAGTAGGTATTAAGCATGTACATATAAAACTATTGAAAACACGTCAGCTGTGAAACGCGTGACATTTTACACTAACTGCTGTCAGTCATCATATATCTAGGAAACAAGTTCAATTTGGTTTTATTGTACTTTATAAATTAAGCTCGATCAGGGGTTTCATGCAAAACATTCAAAGTGTGAAATTTACCCTATATATATGCAAAACATACAAATGTAGTGCTTCTAATTATTTGCTCCATATATACATAATCTTGATTACGAACGTACCGATTCCACACAAGAAGCATATGGACAATACTCCTGATCGATAATAATCGGATTCATCACATTCTCCATCACAACATCATCGAACGTGAAACCCGAAACCATCATGGGTTCAACATTCTTAGCATCCTTCTTGCCCTGCCAAGTCTTGATCCTGATCCCGTTTGCAGTCCCACTCAGCTTAGAGTTCCTCACATTGAACCCCACGACATCCCCCTTATCCTCATCCTTGCCCAAACTGCCGACGCTGATGCCGTGGCCGGGCCCGCACGTGACTCCAGATACGGTCACGTTGGTTGTGCCCGACCCGACGGAGACGCAGTCATCTCCGGTGCCGATGGTGGAGTTGGTGATGATGATGTTAGAGGAGGCGCCCATGTGGATCCCATCGGTGTTGGGGCTGTCGCCGGGGGCGGTTATCGTGATGGAGTGGATGTCGATGTTGCTGCAGCCGAACATGTTCACGTGGAAGAACTTGCTGTTGAGGGAGGTGATGCCGGTTATGGCTGAGTTTGTGACAAAGCTCAGCGACATTGTCTGTTGAAACGGTGAACGATTTAATTTGTTCAGTTGAACAAAGCGCATCAAGCAAATGCTTAATTAATTAATAAAAAAAGTTAGTTATATATACAGGTGAGCTAGACCACGGATCAACTCAAACTACTTTTATACTATCAGAAATGAGAGTGTGGGGTCCTTAGCGACTTGATCATCCAATTTCGATAGCAATTCAAGAGGATGGATCCCACACTTTTGTCTAATGGAGTTCAAAAGTAGTGTGAGATATATAGGTCGATCAGTATTAACCCCCAGAATTAACAACGTGCCACAAGAATAATAACTTCTTGGTTATTATAAAGATGCTTGGGGATCAATGCATTGATCCAAGTGTCAATGTTCATTTGGTGAACCATTAATGTTATGGGCTTAGATCATTAATGGATATACTTTTTCTTTTCTTTTTTTTAATGGAATTAATGGATACTTTTTGTACCACAACCATGCAACACCGATACCATCTAAATATAGTTTTACCCTTGTGTACCTTACAATGCATTGTTTCTCTAGTTAGGTTAAGACTTTAGATGTTTTGTGTGGATTATATGACAAGAAATTTCGCTTCCACCCTTTATTTTAATTAGAAAAGACTAAAGTGTTCTTGAAATGAGGGTAAAAAAATTAAATTTGTTTAATATTCAAAGGATGTGAAAATGCTAATAAAACAGTTTAGAGGATATAAATTGCTATGAAAATTTTAGCTGCAATTAACCCCTGATAAATATTTAAAAGATCAAAATTTACCATTGGAAGAAGCTTGCACTTCCAATTGTCTGGGCAATTATTGTGGGGCCAAGCGGTGGTCCCCTGTCCATCGAGCTTGCCACGACCACTAATCGTGAGCCCATCGATGTACTGAAACTCAAGCCAATTGCTCGTGTACCGGTTGAGATTTGTATCAGCGAGCAAATTTCCATCTAATTGGATCGTAATGGGTCCTTTACATTTTCCCTTGAACAAAACCGGCCCAACTAAGTAGTCACCGAAAGGAATAGTTATTTGTGCGCTTCCTTCAGCTGCGCATGCATCATCCCAAGCTTTTTGCAAAGCCTACAAGTATGCGAACAGAAAAATTTGTTAATCACAACTAAAAAGTTTTAACTTGTTTTGATGAGGAATATTTCTTTAAAAAAATTTATAATGCATAATATGGCGAATGCAAGTCCTATCAAAACCGTCCACACACAAGTTAATCGTTCTAATCTATACAAAAGAGTATATTGAAATCTTCAAATTGTTAGTCTATTTCTTTCTGAATGGAACATAATAACGCACACGAATTCGGACTATTCTAATAAGATATGGCGTTTTGATATAACTCACCTTCGGTTTAGCTGCTAATTGCATGATTTTGTTGCTAATGTAAAGGATAGTTTGTTCGTTGGAGGAAGCTCAATTTTGGCTTTTTCCTTAGGTTTATTTTGTTGGATGCTTGAAATTAGAGCTGCTAGATTCAGCATAAACTGATAAGATAACTTCATATAATCACTTGTTCCTGTATTTTTCTTTAACTGTGAGCTTTAAGGCGATCTCTGCGTATCTATCTTTCTTTGAGTTAAGAGTTGCTTTGGTATAATAATTATAGAATTGCAGCCATTAAAGCACTAAAGTCTTAGTTCAGTTTATATTATTTTCCGTTTATTTACAGACGGAGATAATTTGTTTAGTTTTGGTTTAGTTTGCTTCATATGAGAAATGATCTGCGTTGTGTGTTCTTTAGCTTTTCATGTTTCACTTTATTTTAACGTGTTGACCTTGATACATAAGCTTTTGGCATTGTGCAAATGGCATATGCGAATGGTGTTTCAACACATTACCTCAAACAACTAGGCTTGGAAGTTGTGTTTACTCTAACTGGTGTGAAGTATTTGCACAAGAAAGCTTCAGAATATGACATCGGGATCTATTTTAAGCAAATGGTCATGGAACGATTCTATTTTCAGAAGATTTTATATCTATCCTACATGATGTGGAGAAAGAGCTTGCTTCTTTCAGTTTTATTTGATTGTATAATGGTCTACTAAGAGCATACATCTCCTGATTCTAGTCATATTTAATTCCAACTTGCATGCATTTCTGTATGCACTATATTCTGTATGCACTATATTACTTCAAACAACTATATTTTGTATGCACTATTTTTAAATTTTAACCTTACAAATAGGCGTTTAATAATTATTTTTTCTCTATTATCCTTGTAGTTCCAAACATTGCGTGCAATGGTCCAAACAAATCCACAGATTTTATAGGTCTGTATCTCTCTCTACAAGAGAGGACTTGACTGATCTTGCAAATTTAGTGTTCCACTACAAAGTGTTTCTCTTTGTGCAGCCAATGCTTCAAGAACTAAGCAAGCAGAATCCAGCATCATGCAGAATTTCTTCAGTTAATAAATGGATGTGAACTTGTGAAAATAGCTCTTATAAATATATTTTGAAAGCTTAACTGCTTAAACAATGTACTCTAATTCTTATTCATATATTTTGAAATTCTTTGCATGGAGTATTCTGACCTTTAAACTTTGAAACATGCATCTACATTTAGTATCCTCTAGCTTGTCGGTCAAATTGAATTTTCTAGGATCTTAAATCTCTCTCGTCTCAGAAATAAATACGAGTCGTTCTGGTAATGTGAAGTGTCCGCCTGGCTGAACAGGAAGCCATAGCATAGAAAGGGTATGTCACTCGAGCTTTAATGTTATACCTTGTCATGTTTAGTGTTGTCTGCTTTGTTTCTGATGTGCTTTATTCTTCAGTTGGAAGCAATGGGCTTTGATCGTGGGCATGTCATCGAAGCATTTTTAGCCTGTGATAGGAATGAGGAGTTGACTGCAAATTATTTGTTAGAACATGCTGGTGATTAAGAGTGAAGGTGAGTCTGCTGCCTGCATTCTTCCGGTTTTTGCTCCTCTACTGTTTTAGCTTTTTATTCTCAAACTGACAAATAGTTTTAATCTTTGTTTGTGTTTAAAGGATTTGGACCAAGGGCATTGATGGGTTCTGAAGAGATAAAGCAAGCACTCTTTAGGAATGCAGACTATGAGGGGAGATGCTTGTGAATAGAATCTCTGAATTGGAAGCGGATTAGTTGTACTGTTAAGAGGGAAAAAATAACTTTTAAAGTATGCTTTATATGTATATTGAATAAGTATTGGAAGTTCAATGTTGTAATTGTTTGTTTTATTAATATGTTTTTTATTTTTATACAATTATTTTTGTCTTTGAATGAATATTTTTGTGTTCATGTTATGTTTTCTTAAATAATTTATGTGATACATATGAACGTGATTGAATATGAAAGCAAAAACCTAAATGATATATGGAATAGGATTTTATATATTAAAAAAAATAAAAAACATCCTAGACGGAAATTCCGTCTAGGATGATCACCCTAGACGGAAATCCCTAGACGGAAATCCCGTGTAGAATGTTTTGAATATCCTACACGGAAATTCCGTCTAGGAAAAAATTCCGTCTAGGATGAGTTTCCTAGACGGAAATGTCGTCTAGTATACCCAAAACATCCTAGACGGAATTTTCGTCTAGGATGTTCCGTTTAGGATTATCCTAAACGGTTTTAAGTTCCGTCTAGGATGTATCCTAAACGGAATTTTCATCTAGAATGCTGCATCCTAGAGGGAAACTTATTAGACGCACATTGTAGACGGAATTCGGCCTAGGATAATCATCCTAGACGGAAATCTGATTTTCCTAGACGAAAATTTCCGTCTAGAATGACTCATTTTTTACTTGTGAATTGAAATGTAAACCTAAATAAAATTATTAAACGCTAAATTTACAAATATCTACAAAATGAATGGTGTATATGCAAAAACTAAATAAATTAATAAGACAAATAATGTTTACCCCAAAGGTCGAACCCGGGAACAACGTAAACCCACAAATCTACATAATGTGGATGAGATATTTACAAAAAATCTACTAAACAAATTAAAGAGACAAAAATCATTCTAAAAATTATAAAAAAAGAAAAAATAAGGAAAACAAAAATCATACTCTCTTTAAAAGCATGAGTTTGGGAAAAGCTTTCCATATTCAAAATTATACTGTGCTACTTTAAATATTAAATTTAAATTATAATTTATCTTAATCGTACTTATATCTTATACTAATATCCCATGAACTATCTATAGGTCAACAATTTAAATAAGATTAATAAAATATATGAAACAACTCTGTAGTATCAGCTTATTACATAAAGTATTAAAAAAAGTTTTAAAAATTAGATAAAATACTCTCAAAAGTTTAAAATATACAAATAAAAAGCTAAAAATTTAGAACTTGTCAAAGAAAAGAATAATTGTGTGTTGTTATTTCATTAAGATATATAAATATAACTTATAATTTAAGGTTTACTATCCTTTTTCAGAATCTAAAAATAGTCAAGTTGATACTGGTAAAAATAGTAATAATAACAGATTAAAAATATCCAGTGAAAGAATAAAATTTAAAAAATATAATAGATTAAAAATTAATGTTATTGTATAAATTAAAGTAACTGTATATAATTTTACCAATATGTTAGAGCGCAAAAATACATAAGTATCATTAATTGATAGAAGACTAAATCGCAAAAAACTAATAAAATATTATAATATAATAGCTTAACTTTAATTGATTGTAATCTATAAATATTGATCTCTAATGGTAATTATATTTATAGGGTAAGAAATTATAAAGATTTATGTATGTAGGACTATTAGAAAATTTAGAGATATCATTCAAAAGAATCAAGCGGTTTTTATTTTAAATGACATTCAGAATGTCAATGAATCACTTCAATTAACACTAGCATAAGCTATATTTATCAAAGAAATACTGATTGAATACCCCCTGAAGAATATATTGAATAACTTTGTTCAAATCAAAGAAACAATCTTAATGGAAGATAAAAGAAAAATTACCATGTCATGACTCTGCGTAAACAAAAAATATAAAATCGTCATTTTTCTTTTTCTTATATAGTGTCATGACCCAGTTTGTGACTTTATTTAGGGGTATGACTACTAACGAATGATCAATTCTTAAAGACACAATCAAAGATAATGACAATCAAAGATAATGATTTAATAGCACTATTAGAATTCAAGATCTCTAAATATGATGGTAGTATGTTTCATTACTAAAATTCTTATTAAATACCACTAAGTATAAAATTCACCTTATATATGTCTCAAATTTATAGAGGAGATATGTATGTGATCGTAAATTGTGTCACTAATATATATCAATCCAAATATACAACTTACTGAAGAAATAAGAGATTAGTAAGCAAACCAAGCAAACATCCATATAACACTGTAAAGAAAAAATATTACATTTTAAAATAAATATGCAGCATTCTTTTAGAGTAATCTGCCAAGACAAAAACATCTCTATTAAGGCTCTTTATAAATACAGTGAAAATTCAAATTACTAATATATACAACTATTATAATATTAGAAAGAGGTATGATCTTAGAAAACCTACTCCAAAATTCATACAATTAAAATCTAAGAACAATTTACCAATATATAGACACACTATCACACCTTTAAGGTAATGATAACTACCATTTATAATAGAGTTGAGCAGTGGTTCTATGTTTGTAAATGATGTAACAAGAAAGTGCATAGAGATGTTAATAATAAGTGTTCAGATGATAAATATTGTAGAATCATCGATAATGTAGTACCAAGGTTAAGTGATATTTTTTCTTCATGAAATAAATATATCAAATTAAATATTAATATTATAATCTAAAGTAAATTAATAATAAAAAATATAATGTATTTAATTCAGATCCTCAAGGAAAATGATTCAGATAGGGCAAATGTAACATTATGACACAGCAGAAATTATTATTGGATGCACGACAGAAAAATTCATTGCAGAGAAAAAAGAGATAGCTCCTAACCTTATTTAAGTAATAAATTAAAAGCACAAAAATTTTAATATATATGAAATTAACATTTATTCTTATTGATATAGGAAAAAATTAAAGTCCATATTATCAGAAGTTTGTGTTGAACATAAGAAATATGTTCAACTTCTTTGTGAATTTAGACGAGAAGACAAAAGATGAATGGGCTCAAGGAAAGAAAATATGCTCTAGTCTCATATCACAATCGATGTAGATGATGAAGACACTACTCTAGAATTGCCTAGGAAAAGATAAAGATGAAGAATAATTGATCTTGGCTCAATAAAAAAAATAGAAACAACAAAAGATAATATTTTGTGAATTGTTATAGAATAGTTTTTTTTTTAGTAAAATTAGGAATCTTTAGAAGAGATTTTCATAAACTATTTTTTTTGCTTTCATATGCATATGTGGATATTTTTATCATATAAAAGTGTACTAGAGTTAGCATTAATATTCAGTTTAAGATTTTTTCATTAACTATTTTCTATCATTTTAGCCCACTTTAAATCAATCATCTTGACTCGTTGCCTTTATTATTCATCTTCCTTTTATAATGTTATTATTTTAAGTGTTTTCACTTTTATAACACTATACTTTCTCAGGTCAAGCTCGGTTTCATAACGATCCAAATAAAATAAAAAATTAAATTGGCTTTAGATTATATTTATCTCCTGACAATTCAACTATCAGCATAAAAATTTTAACTGGGTATAGTTTATTTAAACATGTTATTGTAATTCACCATCTAAAAGCAAAGAATTCGAGAAACTATTTTCATAGGCCCATAAGAGCTATGGCCCAAACCAACTTAGCGGCCCAAAGCCCAGCCAAGAATGAATTTAATGACCCGCCGAGCGACGAGTCATCTTTACCGACACGAAGTGCGGGATCAGGCGACGCCTCATAATCAAGACGACTCCTCAAATATTTGGCTCAACCATCTACTCAGTTGTCTCCTCGGCCAGAAGTTCACTCGACTGTTGTAAGGACCATAAAATTTAATACTAATTAAAATAATTTTTTGGTATATTAAAATATTTAATTATGATTTTTAAAAGAGTAATTGTTTTTTTCTCGATTTTCTAGAAATTTTCTATAATTTAAAATCTAAGTTTTATATTTATTTAAATAATTTTAATATTTATAAATTAATTTCGGTGAAAATTTCTAGAATTAACCTATTACATTATTAATACTATTACATATTATTTTTAAATAATATGTTGTATTATTATTATTATTACATATTATTTCATATGATACGTTGTATTATTAATTACGTATTATTTATATAATTTATTATATTATTTCTTCTGTTGTATATTATCTGTTGTATTAGTACAACTGGTATATTTTATTGTGTAGATAATTATTCCATAATAATTTAATTTTTAAAATAAGTAATTTATGTTTTATTAATTATTCTTATTTAATTGTATAATTTATATTATTATTTCTTCAGTTGTGTATCAATGGTTGTATTAATACAACCAGTACATTTTTATTTGTAGATAATTATTCTGTAATTATTTTGATTTTTAAGTACCCGTAATTATTTATTTTACTTATTTTTTATTATTTCTTCAGTTGTGTATCAATGGTTGTATTAATACAACCAGTACATTTTTATTTGTAGATAATTATTCTGTAATTATTTTGATTTTTAAGTACCCGTAATTATTTATTTTACTTATTTTTGTCCAGTACATTTTTATTTGTAGATAATTATTCTGTAATTATTTTGATTTTTAAGTACCCGTAATTATTTATTTTACTTATTTTTG